TATCTTTGCGGTGGAGGAGCAGCCATGCAGAACGCCACACACTGCAGGGATGCCAGGGCTGACGAACACAAAGCAAGCCTGACATTGTTTCTCATTTTTCTTTTTCGCTCATCTCCCCATGTCTCCTCCAACTGTCTTTCTCTCCTGGAAGTAATGGTGGTGTTCCTGTTGTTGTGAGCTATGTGACAGATAACTAATTGTGTGTGACTGAGGCTCTGAGGATGATGGATCTTTCTGGGACTCATTTTTATGTGTTCTGGAAACTAGATAAATAAATGATTACAAGTTTACAACCACACATTTTAATATTCTTCTTTTCTATTCTTCATATTTGAATGTTCTTATTTTAAAGGGCCAACCCAGTTTTATTCAATAAACAATATGCCTGCAACATTTCTTGGTTTTCTTGGTGACGTCTTCATGTGCATGAGTCACCAGTTATTTTTTTTCTTTCATGAAAATCTAATATGTCTGTATGCTACGTTTCTATGAACTGCTTTGGGAGGTGGAAAAAGCAAGAATGTGCAGGTACCACAGTCAGGTACTAGTATTTAAGTGGGTGCATATATATGACTGTGTGTGTGTGTGTGTGTCAGAGCCCACACATCCACAGGAGGGGGCTGCTGGTCCAGTTTGTGGTTTGTCTCACTATAGCTCCAGCATTTGTTCAGTACCCACAATGCATGTCTCACATGAAGGTGACATGCCACTCTTCCCCTGCGATCACTCTGATAACAGTTTTAACTCAATCTCACTCTATTGTGACTGTTTTGTAACAGATAATCACAGCCTCTGTGGATGGTCTGCTGGTGGTGATGGACATGAGGCTGGTGAAAAGCATGTTTGAAAGGCCATCTTGTTGCATTTGAATGCTGTATTACAATACAATATTAACTGCAGCGGATGCTGTGAATTGGAAAAAATGTGACAACAAAAAACCTGGGTAACACTATGTAAATGTTAACAATCATTTACATTATACCATAATGCTAACAAACACACACTTTTGCTGAATTCTGCATTTAACCATTCATTAGGGAATATTATGATGGACAGACAATATAATATGAAAGTGGACCAGATGATTTTTACTCACGTTTTTAGGGTTCCTGACGTCATGAGCTCTGTGACCAGCACAATGCACTTGCGGCCTTTGGAGGGCGACTCCCATGAGTCGTAAAAACGCACAATGTTCGGGTGCTGCAGACCTTTCAACATGCCGGCCTCTTCCTTGAAGCGC